ATGTTTCTATGAATGAGGGAAATAAAAAACTGCATTCCAGGAAATTATGACATTTAAAACCTGAGAGGTGATGGAAACCTCCTGGCACATTTTTTTCCCCTGTAGTTCCAAGAAAAATCTGATTTTCATGGTTCAGCAGAGAAAATTCGAGGCGCCAGATTTTTGTTGTTCGAGCTTTCCAAGCAGGCCGAGCTGCCCAAAACACAAACCGTATGATACATGTAGGCTGTTGTTCTGCCTCTCAGTAGAGATACGCAACAAGGCGTTTGGAGCTAGAATTGCTAGCTTCCCCAAACTTCCCAAATCGATGTTATGCTTTACAAAGAGCAACAGAACAGAATCTGCTTATTTGCAAATGCCCCAGGTTTTCCATGCGAAATTCCCCAAACCACCTCCAAATAACTCACAACCCACAGCCAGCACAAAACAGCACAACAACACACGTATTCCACACATTAAAACAACAAACGTCAAACTATATCGTGTCTTTTCCTCCTCTGAAATAGTTCTGTAAATTCCATGCAAGTTCCAGTTATTTGTAGTGTTTTAATACGCTAAATGTTCTGAGGAAATTCACATGCAGATTCTCCTTCAGCAACATTATTAGGTTGCCTTTCATATTAACTTGTTGCTTTCTGATCACCGCCATCTTTTTTATCTTGAGTCTTTGTATCTTTAGCTGATCCCAGACCAGCGTGAAGTCTCAATCTAAGTGATTCTGGTCCTGGACCATAGATGTGGGTATCGGTGGGTGGATCCAAACTCTGGAGGAACATATGGGGTCAATTAGGCAGAATTTGCTGTTGGACGAGGTACAAGTGATCCACAAGAAGGACCTGCGAAATAGGTGGTCTCAGGCCATTTGGCAAGCCAATTGTGGGCAGCCTGCGAATAAGCGACATGAAAGTATCAGGTGTTAAGCAGCAAATGATCCAGGAAAGGTGAAGCCGGGACACCATATTGGCCGGGCTGGGTTTGGGAGAGCTGTGCAGCCATGCGTGACGCTCTGCTCTTTACACGGAGCCGGCCGCCGCTGCCAATGGTTGATAATTGGGAATATTAGAATAACGGTTGCTGGCCTTAAACCCACAATCAAAAATATTGACTTCAACATACATGCCGTAGACATGAAGTGAGATCATCTGCATGTCATTCATTATTCACACCGATTGGAAACATTTTCTTACTTTTTCTAATTTGCTCTCTAGAAAGAAACTCACTGGGAATAATATTTTCTTCTCTACAATACACTACTGTGGAGGTAATTGTGTGAACGTCAGTCTGATATTTATGTTGGTAATTTATTAGACGTTTTTATTTTTGGAGTATTTGTAGAAACTGCCCCGTTCAGTTTTTCTTTCACTCAGGTTACTTTTTGCTCTTGAAAATGTCCGATAACTCCAGGGATGCATAAAAATGCAAAACATATACAGTAGCTTCATACAGGACACATTTTTCATCCTGTGGTCGGATGTATTTTAAGTCAAAGCTGAGCTGCAGCCACATAATATCATACACATGCACGTGGAGCCGGAGTTGGCCGGCTGCTGTTGCATTTGAGGTTAACCCAGTTTTGAGTGAAACCTGATAATATATTCCATGAGACTTAGTGTGTTCTGGGATCCCATTGGACCCTGATGATTTAAACTGAGTGAAACACACAAGTGCTCTGTTCTCTCTGTAAATACTACAGATGGAACTCTTACAGCTCTTATGCTCTGTGCTTATACTAAGATGCCTTTTAGGTTTATGAATCATCCAAACTCTGCTTTCAGTGTTTAATGCGATTCAAAACCACAGTTTACGGTTCCCAGCAGATGTATCCACACCAAATAGGAAATAAACTGCAGTTTAAGCTTTTGGAGTATTCACGTCGGTCTTTGAGCAAAAGTGGTTATCTGGCAGTTTAAGAGATTGAGGAGTAGATGGAAAATGGAATTGGATTTAAAAAGGGGAATACAGTCGGGCTCCTGGCAGGCCGGGCTGTGGTTCTTGGTCCTGGTCCTGGGCTGGACTGAGCCGGCCTCTGGGGTCTGGATGGGGTCTGGCAGCTTTCTGAAGCTGCACCTGTTCCACATTCCACCTCAGAAAAGCAACAAGAACCATTAGGAGCAGCTCTGACTGGATTCCCTACTTACCTTAAAGGTAATCAGGGTGGTTCCATTTGTTCAAACTTTCTGCTTTCGCCAAGAGAATTCATAAAAGTTTGTTCCTCTTCTGGATTCCCTCACCAAACCTCAATTGTCTTTGTAGAAATCTAAGCCTTTACTCACAGTTCCTAAACTCATTTAGCTGATGGAACTCCTAGCCAAACTCACCCTCTGATGACTCAGCACTTTCATCCAGCAGCCCTCCCCTGTAATCCAGTCACCGCTAGAACAAAGTGAACCCTGTTGTCTTTTGGAAATTCATCCACCTCTAACATCCTGGACAACTGATCACTCTCTCCCTCCCAGGAAAGGTCAGTGGGTCGACTGGGTCATATGTCGGAGAGTCCTTTGGACACGTAAAAGTTTGAGTGGTCAGTTACACTAGAAAAACTCGATACAAGTACAGCCCATTTACCAGTTAAACTTCAATCCATCTCTGTGGATTCTAAATAAAATGTTTTTGCTCATTCAACTGTACGGGTTCAATTGTGGATTGGCTCTTTCAGCTGGGACATACAAGCAAACTATTGTAGTTAAAGAAGATCAAAACAACAAGAATAAAACAGGAGAATTTGAAACAAAAGTGGGACTAATAAGAAGTGTCCTGGCCAAGAATGTCAGAAGTAGCATGGAAACAATTTAGAAGTTTTTTCTTTGTTCGGCATTTGTCCTTCAGAATAAAGTTTACGTATCCATAGGAGACAAAATATATAATTTTGTATTTCCAAGCCATTTTGGTCTTCGGGTTTTTTTATTTTTCTGGGCAGAGATCAGTGAAATAGTGTTTGTTTGTGAACTGAACTGGACAGAACTAAAGATTCAATCTATTGTTCTTCTCAGATGGGATACTTTTACTGAACAAGTGCAACCACATTGAATTAGACTATAGTGGACGGAATTAAGTTAGAAAAAGTGGATTTGGATTGAAGAAGATCAAGGTGCCTTGACAAAATCAAATCTGACAGAAGAATGGTGTCTCGCTTCAATCATAGAAGAGAAAAACTGTGCTGCAGCCAAATCAAAATGCAGAGCAGAAAATCCAGAGGTGGCAGTTAAAAAGTCACAATCTCCGGCCTGCTGATGACTGACCTCACAGTGTTTGACCACTGATGACAGCTGATTGGCTGAGAGAGTGACAGCCCCAGAACAGACGGGACCGGTCTGAAACCAGAAACGTCCCTCTGTCGCCCCATGCTGAAGTCATTATACACTTCATTGCCTTTTCTTCACTACTTAGTATTTTAAACATACTGTTCTTGACTATCTTCTCTATAAAGTAATAGAAAATGTGCATAAACAAAATTCATAGACTGGTCAACTTTGACCTGATACTTAATCTAGTGAATGATTATCACTAAGACTCCCCTGTGCTTTCTTTTGTTTTTACTTCCAGATAAAGTGGTTTGGAACTTAACGCGACACTTTTTATCTTTTAGGACCTTTTGGATAGGTAAAATTGTGGTGATAATGGGTTAAAAGAACTCAAACCTGAAGTACTTTCAGAGCTGTTGTTTTCTGTTTTTCACTGTGAAGTTGTGTTACTACATTTTACATTTGTTTTGCCCTAGAGGTATATGTTTTCATTCTTATCTATTTGTCATCTTGTGACTCCTCAGATTTTTTCCCGGGGCTCCACGCGGGTTCTGTTTCCTGTGTAGAAGCCATTGGTTTACTACACATAATGAGAATCAGGTGTTGTCTTGCCTGTAGCTTGTTTTTACTCTAGGACTGCCATGCTTTTGAAACCTTATTGCCTTATTCCAAAAGCTCCCATTGCCTAGTTGGGTAAGACATCAGAACATGTAAAAAATAAAGCTCAGGGCTGACAAAAATTCACTTGATGCAAAGGTCAGTAGAAGTTGAGGGCTATTAAGCCAGGAGTTTGACAGTAATGTCAGTGATACCTGTTGCATGCTGACATCCCGGATTAGCTACAACTGTGTCTCATTAGTTGAGTTTACAACGAGGCCTGACTCTGTTTTGAACGGACGGTAAGAACTCTAATAATCACACAGGATCCGTGTGAATCGTGCCTCGCCATCACAGAAGGTTCTGAAGCATTCGGCTCTTTGTGGGTTCTGGCATTTCACTAGCAGCCCTCTGACAGAGAAGCTGTAAATATAGGAAAAAAAAAGTAAAGAATTACCATTTTTTCCATGTGGCTAAATTGCCTTTTTCTTTATTTTGAGGGTGACATTTTCATCCTCATGCATCATTTATATGCCTCCAAGACAACTGGAAAACAGGGGATGGGGGAAAAGGATACAGCAGATGAAATTATGAAATACTATCCCTGTTTGGATTAAAGCTTGTGTGTGTGTGTGTGTGTGTGTGTGTGTGTGTCTATGTGAGTAAGACCAGGTACCACTCCTGTCTGCATTTATCTGTCTCTGTTTGTGTGACTGCATGTGTGTCTATGCGTGCGCAAACTTTCCGTTGAAGCGGGAATGTCACCAATACATGAATGAAAACAGTGGGGCATTCCAGGCAATGTTGCAGGTCCTGAGGATAATTCTGCCTTTCAACTGCTTTCCATTTATTTCATAGCTGCAGCACTGTCGTCCCACCCTGGTCCAGATGAAAAGCATCGTTGTGTAAAGAAATTGAAATGAAAATCCTCCTGGACCCAGCGTGATGGGGGATGGGGGTTGTATTATCCATGACTCAATGGCACTTCCCCGGGATAAGATCTAATTCTGGAGGAAAATTTCTTTATATGGCCACCTGCTGTCACCAGCTTTGTCCCTGGATCACAAGTTGTTCTGGGTGACCGCTCTCTGGACACGGTGATAGGAATGCACTCAGCTCCCCGCTGACATTTAGATCTCTTTATTTTTCTCTTTCATTCAGTCCGGAGCCGGGTGGGACGGATGGGTCGGGGGGGCAGAGTTGGAGGCTGTGTGGGTCCTGGGTGAGGAGACTTAGCTCATTGCAAAACGCTCCGGGTTCATTTTTGGGAACAGAAAACACAGGAATGTTTTAAGCTTTCCACAAATCTGTGTGCAGAAAACACAAATATGATGCTTAGTAAGAACATAGTGTCAGTTTTAATCATATTTGTTTTTCTGCCTACATGGTAAGGCCTTCTTAGATTTTTGCCAAATCTGGAGGCGCATTAAAACCTTTGTTTGTCTGACTTTGCGTAAAAAAGCACCAAATTTGAATAAATCAGTTCTGACAGCCAAATGAACAAATTTCGTGACATAATAAATTTGTAATTCAGTCTATAGATCATCTGAGTCTCTCTTTCCTTTTCAGATCAAGGCAACTTATTCTGATGACTTCATGCTCTGCCACCTTAAATTTTTGGAACAGATTCATCACTTAGCACCAACCTGAAGAGCCCCAGCTCTTTTCACCATTTCCTTGAAAGGACAAGTGTTTGCCATTCCTTTTCATTCCGGGAAATTACTCCTCAGTTAAAAAAAATCTAGTACCAGGTACCAGACATATTTCGTGCCTTCTCATTATATGGTATACTCGGCTGTATTATGATGGTATTGATCTACCGGGTAAGAATTAAGGAGGAGATGCTCTCTGAGGAACTGGTGAAGATAGATTGAAGATAGACATGGACCCACCTGTTTTTGTAGTTCTTGGTAGGTTATTTCATCATGGTTAAACCACACATAAAGCGTGGAGTAGGCACTAGGATTGACCGAGATGGGACATAAGCCTTGGTCAGGGTTCAAGTAGATGGGAACTGTACCCTTAAGCACTTTGTAGGCTAACATCAGGGACTTGGTGGGTAGGGCTAGCCAGTGAAGCTCAATGAACAGAGGGGTGACGTGGGATTATTTAAGACGATTGAAAGTCTGACGCCGCCATGTTCGGGATGATTTGTAAAGGTTTTACTGCTCCGGCTGGAGGACCAATCAGGGGAGCTTTACAGTAATACAGGCTGGAGATGACCACAGACCTGGATCTAGGTGGTATTTTGGGTTCAGAAAGGCCAGATCTTTCTTATGTTTAGTAATGTGAAGCAACATGATTGAGCAAAGGAGGCAAAATGATCCTTAAAGGTCAGCTTTAGCTGGCTAATGAATGGTTGAACATGATGATAACAAAGGGCCACCAAGCTCAACTCCAGCCAACAAATTTAAGGTTTAATGTTTAAGTCTATATTCATAGTTGATGAACATGGTCACGTTTTCGTTCAAATGAATTAGTCTCATGAATCAAAGTTTTTAAATTATGTTGGAAATGGAAGTGTGTCCTGACTGTTAAAAGTTATCTACATGTCTCAGAGCTACACTGGCCCCTTTTAGGCAACAGCAAAGGGGTATAGTTCTGCAAGACAATGCATATTTCTTAACGGCATGGGTTGATATTGCTAAACCTGAACCTGGCAGTTATTGAATTCAGTTTTTAGTCAAATTTTTTCACAGTGTTCTAATCCTAACCAGGTATTTCCTATATCTGTCTTTCTGCCATAGCTTCCATGACTGACCATCATATATATATGTGATCTAATTCTTATTTTGAATTTTTGTCTTATTCCCTTTGATAACTGTGCCGATTACCTGTTTCCTACCTTTTTGTCTTTTTGTGTTTTTGGATTTCTAAACCTCTCCTTACCCTTGGGGACCTGTCCATACACACGACATGATTGATATTTAGTTTTTGTATTGAAAGAAGTGTCAGCTGTGCATAAAAAATTAAATAATAATTACGAAAATACAAGATTAATGCTTGCTATTGGTTCTGACCACCAGCTGACCAACACTGTGAGAACCTGGAAATGTTATAAGACTGTTAAATGAGCATTAGTATTACTACTAATTTTACTATTACTTCCAGTATGACGTATAGTATTTATCGTACATTATTAACTGATGATGAATAGATACGTAACATTTTAGTTAGCATCTTTCAGACAAATTCTTTTAAAGCTGATAACAAGAGGATTGAGAAGTATCTGAAGGGCCCTGGATAATAAAGAGTTTACTGGCCTGCCTGAAAAAGCAACTGTATTAAGGTCTTAGTTGTTAAACTCTTTCAAAGAAACCGATTTTCAGGATTCAGAAAATATTTAAAAAATCCACAAAGCAATTGTGAAGTGATGCTTTGAAATAAAAGATACAAAGCTTTTCAATCAACTGGTGGTTGTGCAGCAGACCACTTATCACTCACCCTTTTGTGTGTGTGTCAGACATGTGTGTGCGTGTGTCTGTATGTGTGTGTGTGTGTGTGCAGGTTTAGAAAGTCTCAGTGAGGCTCTTGTATATCTGCAGCTGAACAATAGATCCCTGCAAAGAAGCCAGCTTAGAACCAAGGGACAAATCTTAGCAAGAACACGCCATTGTAATCCTCCAGCCCAGGTCTGCAGCTTTGAGCCACGTAATTAATGGCCAGATGGGTGTTTCTTCTCTTTTGTTTCTTAACCTTGTTCTGTTCAGCATTATGGCAGCGGAGTTGTAATCTGAGTACCACGTTTTGCCGAACGCAGATTAGCTTTGCCAATGGTCGTTTTATGGCGAAAAAAGCCCCCCTTGACTGTGCAACACTGTTTTTTTTTATTAATTTTTGCTAAAATACTGCTAAATATGTGTATTAAATAATGTTAAACCTGACAGGGGGCAGGGAAAAGGGCTAGCAAATAAATAGAAACTACCCAGAAGAGGGAAAGTTCCTTATAGAAAGACACAGAATCATATAACCAGCTGCCAAAACGTCTTTTTAACTGAAAGGTATTTTTCGTTTACAGCTCAGAGTAATTTGATGCTTTTTGGTGACATACAAGATGTCTCTGAAAGTTGGAAAAAGGACACATCCCAGGATGGGCAAAGAAAAGCTGCTAAGCACTTCCAATGTCGCTAACAAATTGTGAAGGCTTTTTACATGCTTGTCACTCTGTAAGGGAAAAAGATAAAGAAATAAAAGAGATATTAGATTAAGAAGAAAGAGAGTTTTAACAAAAAATAAGAGACGGAATCTCAAGGAGCTTTAGATGGGAGAAAAGATGTTTTCCTTTGTGAAATTTCCCAAGGCAACATGAAAATACCAAACAAAAATTGTGTAGCAGCCTTAATGTTTTGTGACCTTTCCAACCCCAAAATGAATGATTGAATAAATAAACTGAAAAAAAAAGAAAAAAGATCAACTGATGTTGAGAAGCAAGGCAAGCCAAAATTATTAGTATGGCACAATTCATGTACAAGACTATTTAAAGTGCTTTGCATAAAAAGAAAAAAAAAGAAAATTTCAATAAAAAGAAAGAGTTTAAGAGCAGAAATTGGGAATAAAACATGAAAATAATTGATTAAATAGATTAAAGGTGAAGAGTGCAGAGAAAATCCCTTCAGCTGTCATTTCACAGCTAAACAGAATCGTTTTCAGCCTGAATTTAAACTTTCAGAGTTGAGTCCTGTCTCAGCTCTTCAGGAAGACTGATCCAGATTTTAGGATTCTATCTATCTATCTATCTATCTATCTATCTATCTATCTATCTATCT